GCATGACAGAAAATTATTATCTTTTGAAGAGGCACTTTTCAGCACTCTTGGAATTTAGACGATGAAAACCAACGATTAAAACCAGCTGATTTGATTAAATTACACGTCTATTGTACCATAATTTACAATTTTACCCGCAGTAATTGACTATTATCAATAATAAGTAAACAAACAAATAAGAAAACAAAGTGAATCTAGTTCTAACCAAACAATTGTGGTCGAACTGCTATCATTTCTATTTTGTTTTGATAAAATTTCCCGGCCCAACCAGCTGAGCAACCAGGGAAGCCAAAGTCGAGTGAAATGGGCGTTTAGAAGGCTCTGCTGATATTTTTTTCGTACGCTCCCTGAATAGTCAATCACACTCCGATGGCTATTTGAGAGTTTTGATTGAATATTCATGTTCCCACGATAGGACGTCCGAATGACGATTGAAAAACTCGTTTAACCAAAAGAAAAAGGTGCTTGCATCTATATAGAAATCATCCTTTCTCGGAAAAATTGTGCCGAAAGTGACCGGAGAGGCTCAAAGCAAACGAATGCGTCATCAAGCAATTCCGTCTGCAAGCGTCTTCGATCTATTTTCCATAAATTAATGTCAAAAAAGGAAAAAGACAATCGAAGGCGTGCCTTAGATGGGTCATGTAAGTGGAACGGTATTTGCCATCGTTTTTAATTTTGGTTTACCCAATTCCGTAAAAGTACAAGATTCCTTAGGAGTTCGTTTGTGCCCCTGGCCTCTGGCAACCTTAACCCTCTTCAAAAGTATATTCAGGGGGAAAACGGCCCAATGAGTCCAATTTTGGTGTTACAGAGCGCATTTTGAGGATGCTCCTTCGGAAAGCGGTTTTCTTAATTTTTGGGATTGAACTTGGCTCGAGGCCGTAGGTCGTAGTGATTACCCACATAATGAGAGGTTGGGAACGTTTGAGATGAATTCAAAAAAGCGAAATGTCGGGTAAAACCCTTCACTTCAGCGATTTTTTGATGCAAGTCGAATTTCTCTCATCGCTAAATATGAAATGAATAGATAAAATATTACCACGAAGAAAATGTTTTTAAATTTGCTTAATTATTATTCCTAATCAGAAGCTTCATATTGTTTGGTTTTATTCCCAATTTTCCAATCAATTTTTTATATTTCGGTTTATTTTTTAATTATTTCTGTGAGTTCGTTATGTAGAAGACGGAATGAAGTTCAACTGGAAAAAAACTCCAACGTTTTCGTGAAATGTTGTAAAGTGAGCTCAGAAATATCAAAAAACTTCCCGTTTCACGGTGACTTGCTCGAGGCTCCCCTGTTGACGGCGAACCCATACTGTAATCTTTTTAGCTTCAGCCATCCTAACCCAACCGAATCGATCTTATCGAAAAAATCGATACGATCCTGAACTGGCAGGCCCCCACCCTCCCCAACCCCGTGTAGATGGTTATCTGTGAAGTGCCGGGTGCGTGAGAGGTCGATGAAACCTTTTTGATAACCATCGGAGCATATCGAATCGAACTTATGACCCCATCGTAGCCAGCCCATCGTCCTCTGATGAGCGTAGTAACACCAAGAAATCAATCAACCCCCATGTCGTACACTTTCAAGCAGTTGTTTTGCTTTCGTATGACAATCACGAGTCACGTAATGATTGCCCTTTGGCCGGTCAGTGTAATGGAGGTTTTCCGATAGCAACGACGCATCAAAAACCATTTTTCTTTCACAAAATGACGTCAGTGATGTTCTACGAGTACTAGAAAAACTATCAAACTACCTGGCCAGTAAGAAGAGGAATATCAAGAATAGAACGGTAGCCGCAAAGCCGTTCGCCATTGATTCGCGATACATAATGATCAGCTGGGTTTCTTACAGAACGGCAAGGTTCATCCACAGAATTCAAATCGAAAAGATAGGATTTTAAAGTTCCTGTAAAATGATTTTTGAACGTTGTGGCTGAAAACTGAGCCGAAAGGGACTGACGAAAGCGAGAACAGCGAAAAAAAGCTTGACAGTTGGCAGGAAATTTTGTTTGTTCATTGGAAATGCAGTAAAATGGGCGTGAGGTGAAAGAAAGGAGCTCAGAAATAGTTAGAAAAACGTAAAATGAAATTTGAATTGGGGCTCGGGAAGGGAAAAAATGAATAAGATGGGAAAACTGGTTGTGCTGCTGTGAGCTGGTTGGCATTGAACCAAAACTGATCGGCCAGATTAAACCAGTCCATTCAGCTCAAAAAAGTTGATTGAAAGAAAAAGTATTAAGGAACAGGTATGACGGGATGAAATTCAGAAGTGTACAGAGGAATGGAGCAGGTATTCTTGAGGAATATCATGGAATGTTGTTCGGGAAAGATCCGAATGACGATAATTCCCAGAAAATCAGTTGAACTACTCAAACAAATAAACACAGATTTATCCCAGGAAGAGAAAAAAAAATCAATATCGATTTAAGAGCTTTCTTGAATACTGTAAATGGTTAATACATAGAATCAGGCTTCGGATACCAATCAATTCATCTTATTGCTAACCATAAAATACGAAATTTTTCTCTTCCAAAAATTCGTCTTCAAACCAACCACCCTCTAATTTAAAGCGATTCAATGCAATCAATTAAATCAAATCAAATCGGATCAAATCAGATCAAATCAATTACACATAATGAATGAAGTTCTCTATAACAATAATTACTCTAAGTACCCAACATAAAAGATCGTTTTGACAAAAAGTACTCGAGTGGAAGTGAGGTCTCCTTCATTCTGGTATCTTCTCAAACGATCTGTGCACTTTACTTTTATTTTACTTTACAGTGAGTTTATTTCACCTTTTAACCTTCTTCAAAGTGTACTTTACTTAATACTATCTTTATTTGTGAACGATCCAGCCATTTGAAGAGCTTAAACCTCATTTTTACAAAGTTAGATGGACATAGTCGGTGTCTGAGTAGCCAACTCTACACAGTTAGTAAAAATTTGCGAAAAAGCGAGATTACAGAGCCAACTGACAAAAAATTCTGCCGTGGTCAATCATTATATAAGGCGAATATTTAAAGTACTACTATAAATGCATAAATTATTGATCGGTCGGTATATAAGAGGTTGAAGAGGCCATGGCTACTGGTGGCCGGGTAGTCGCGTGCGGAATAATTCGTGTTTCAGCACGAAGGGGCGGGCGCGCGACGGAGACCGATTGTCTGTCGCCCGGACACCGTGGGGGGTAGGACGAGCTGAGTGCCGGCAGAGGGTCCGGAGAACGAGCGAGAGAGAAGGAGAGGAACGACGCTGAATAACTGAGAAGAAGAGTAATTGACTTAAGTGCTGAAGTCACTAGGAGAAAAAGAACCGCAAAGAAAGGAATTTGGTCGTTGCTTGGACTTGTCGCATCATAAACTTTTTTTCGGAGGCCACTTGATCCCAGATGAACTACAAATTGTTCTATATCGAACTACAGAGCAATAGTAATAGTCAAAAGCAACTATGCAGCGAGTAGCGGAGCATATGCCGTGAAACTCGGAGCTTCACAGCTGATTGATGGGTCGCCGTTGTTGCAAAGCGACGAAACTTCGGGATTCCTATCCATCAAAACAAGTTGTGTACTAATTTATGTGCCCTTGGAAAAGGACACACCTGACTGGATTGAACTATCATGAAGATGGTCTGGAGTAATGGACCGGGACGAGAAACTGGCCCTCTCTAATTAGACCGTCCTTCTATCCCAATTAGAAACTTCCGAAAACCAGTTGTACCATACAGTAGTCTTTAGGGGAGCAGTACACAAGGCGATTAGCCAGTTACAGGGGAAACTTGGGCGTAGAACTCGTATTTGTGCGCTTTCAGAGTGCCGGGCTCCCTATCCCTCGAAGGTGGGAGTTCGAGTCTCCCACGGGTTCGATCTTTCGCCTAACTCAGCAACATTGTGAAGGTTTCCACATGCGAAAAACAACAGTTGCAGAAAAAACACAATAGTAAATAATACACTAGTAAATAACCGGTCTCACGTTGAGATCTGCCGAGCATCTGTCCTCAGTTCAGATTCTTTGGATTATTTGGATGGATAGTCGGTATACATTAGTTGCCTGGAATTGAGGACAATATTCGATCAAATTTTCTGTTCTTGCGGCCGGTCCGACAAAAAGTCCGAAATTCAATTGGGATCACACGTTCTTACAGTGATTGGAAATTTCCCAATAGGTCAACCAAAGAGTGGTTCTGATTGAAGGTTGATGATTTAGTTGCTTCTCTTCACTAATCGACTCTACCTACATACTGATGAGGTAAACCGACGATAGCAACCACTACGTACTTGTAACCCATGGAATTCTAGGTCTCGGTAGTTTCATCGATCAAGGTGAAATGTGCTAAGAGAATTGACGGAGAAATGATATGATTCGAAATAGTCAAATATATGAACTCAAAAATGGTCTCAAAAAACGATAGAGATAGAAGGTAAGAGAAAAGAGGGAGCGTTGAATGAGCTGTGAAGAGAAGAACTTGTCAGATACTCAGAATAATCTTATTACAAAGGTAATTCAAAGTATGTCCCTTTTTTGAGAAGAAAATGATCAATGTCGCAACATTGAACATTTTCTTCTCAAAAAACTTGGGGTTTGGGACCGTTATGGACCGACCGAGGTGGGGTCTTAGCTGCTCGACTGTAAGGTTCAAGGACTCATACGCAAGATTCGTTAAAGACATCATCATATTTGAAGGAAGATTTTCGAAAAGACCACACAGAACCACTGAGACCAGCCACTGAGTGATTTGCCGGGCACTCATTTCCGTCTTCACTTTTTTCTTTGGAAAGTCAACATTAGTGATTGAAATGGTTGCCTGACCTCACTCAACGTCCACCAATTTCCTCGGCCTGTTTCTGTCGCCTACCCAATTCGAGAAGGATCTTCGAGGGGAATTCACCACATACGAGAATTCCAATTGGAAATCGCATCGTAACTGCAACTGGGTAAACAACGAGGTGACCTTCGGAGGCTCGGTACAACAAGTTTCCTCCTTCGTTATTGTTCATGCTACGACGAGGCATAGACAAGCAGGAGAGAATGGCATATGTCAATCATTCGGGTAAAGTTAGGGAATGGGTTGGTACGTCCTGTTTGGGCAGGTTCCGTAGTTCCATTGTTGATTCGTAAAAAATATGAAGATGTCAAAGGGAGTTCACTTCATTCCGAGGTGAGTTGAGTTGCTTCCTGCGTTGCCATTCAAGAACAAAGCCTCAAGCTGGAGTAGGGGGATCACCATAAAGACTAGACTGATTACTCGTGAATAAAGGTTGACGAGCCACTATAATGTTCGTAGAATTAAACCTCTGTCCCTAATTCAAATCACCAGAAAAATCAACCCCTCATTTATTTTCCGAGGTATGTCATTTTGCATAGACAGAGGAGGTGGTGTAGTGGCAAATGGCGCACTCTTCCACACATTCATGATTTGGGGATAGAAACAAGGATCGATACTCGCCCGGCTAACCAAATCTTATATCCTTTTAACGCTGGTCATTGATAACAAACTCGTCTGGGAGGGTGACATCACTGACATGTACATTAGCTAGCCATCTCAAATCATTGTATAGGCTACATAAGCATTCGAAACGCCACTGTGATTACAAATGGAAGTCGAATGCAGGGCGCATCCCACTTTCAAGATCAATTAATGTCAGAAGAATTCATTCTTGCCCTTTGAGTCCTGTATTCGGTCTCCATTCCGTCTGTTGCCCCGTTCGGAATTATATTACCTAAAGAGAAGCCGGTTGATGTACGAGACGGTATTTCTATCCTTCAAAACGCTTCTGACGCTAGTTAGAGAACCCGAAAAAGAAGAAATACTTGGCGAAATTCGATCGCTGCGTTCCTGGATGGATCAAATCCAAGTAGCTGAGCAGTCGACTGAAAAAGTAGGCTTTCCAAATGGCGAGAGCCAGGATATCCAGTTCCAATAAGATGGTAGGCACGTCTGGCTCGAGCTGAATTTAAGTCAACGAGTCGGAGACTTAGGCGTGAGAATTCTGCAGGATAAGAGATGCCATCTTCTTTAATTACTATATATGAGAAAAGCCTAGAAGCCTAGCCATTCACAATGCCGAGTCCAAAGGGGCAGCCTTAACCTACCCTTTACTGCTGCATCGCGAAGAAGTATAATTCACCTATTGCCACGAAGTAACCCTACTTACCAACCGGTTCGGGACCAAACGGAGCAGTAGGCCAAGGTGGGTTCACAGTTCCATTATAATTGCCCTTACATTTCCACATCCATAACTGTTCGACGACCTGAAATTAGCTTTGTGTCCGTCGGAAAATTACCGTGCAATTCATGAGGCCCGGCCGGGCGAACAACCAACGTTTCACTTCCGGCGAGTTTCAAGTGGAACTTTGATCGTTGGATTCGATTGGGCACACCTCAACGAACAGCAGCAGCCTCCTCACTCGTTCCCATGCCCCGCCAGCCAAGGTCTTCTGTTGAAGGCCAAACGCCGTCGGTGACAAAACGTGGGAGCGACATCTTTAATATGTTTATGTGTCTGACTTTGTACGGTAACTGGTAGATGAAATGGGTCACTGGAAATCCAAGTACGCCATCGTATCGCTGCGATTTGACATAATCAGGTTGAGAGGATAAGATTTCCAGGTGAACGTAATCTATGCTAACCAGGAAGGAGCAATATGTTCGCCTTTACGAGTAGTATGGGAAGCGTCTGAAGCCTATCTCAATTCTATCTGCCTAAAAACCTCTTCGCACGCTGAATTCGCAAAAATATTAACAATCTGCCTAAAATAAGTCGAAAAAAGAAAAAGCCATTCTTCTCTACAGCATCCATAGGTTTACCCACAGGAGCCCGAGTTTAATCATAACTAAAATAACAAAAAATAATCTATAAACAAAAGAAACGAAAGCTAAGACAACAGAAAATTTATGTCGAAGGAACTGATCTTCGGCGAGGAGTTAAGAAAACAGATCAGAACAAACTGAAAAGGCGTACAGCTTTTTGAACGCTCAAATTTTCCTAACATGCTCACCGCATTTTATTCCAGGTGACATTTTTTATTTATATTTTGTGTTCAAATTTGCGTTTACATGTTAATTCAATGTGCATTTATTTATTTATTTATGTCTATAGAAAGAGATCAAGTTCCCACAAATCAGCAATCTTTTTTGACTGGGTTCCAATTGATTCTTAGTCCTTTGAAGGAGGTTCAAACGATCAAAAAGGCGTCAATTTGGACGAGTTTTCGCTTGGAAATTATGCAGTTTTCAAGCTTAAAATGTATTCTTTCTAGCCCACAAGATCGCATGTCGTAATGATGTCGCCTGGATGTTTGAGCAATGGGATGGTGATAACGACGGATTGCTCTCCAAGGTAAGCAAAAATAAATAATATATGAAATACAAAAGCATTAAGGTCTGAACAAACGACCATAACAATGATTTTTGAAATTCTCGCTTGAAAGTCGAAAATGTGTGGAAAAATATGAATCCAAGGAAGTTCTAGGAAATTTAGCAATCTCAAATTTCACCCTGATGATAAAAATTCCCATCAGAATGTTTTGAAATTACGTAAGGATGACATTCGAAATTATGAGATTTTAATAGGTTTTGAACTAGAATGGAGTAATAGAAAAGCAATGACTTGTACACCAGTCGGCCACCATATGTCACTGCATAAACTCCACACGCATTCAACATCCTTCCATGATCCTCAGTGGAAAATGAGTGCGTGGCGCATCTCAAAAACGGGATTAATTAACCCCAAAGACATTTATTTTCTATAGTGTACAAAAAACTAGGGAGCGCTCCTTACGTGCAGATTTTCGAAGACCAAACTTTTCTTCTCGCCATCAAGACGACCCTCAAATATTGTTCAAGAACCAGCCATTGTGAAATGATAGGATTGATATTGTTTCATGGAAAATTTATGATTAGCCTTCAAGACTTTGTTGCATGAGCAATTCTGGCCACGTTGTCATAACAATTTCTTGACGATCAGAACGACAACATAAAATTATTCATGAGAAAATGAAAAACGAAAGAAAATTTCATTGGCTGTCATCAAAATTTTGAACGGACGATTCCGGCCAAATGAAAGGGTGGTCTGATAAAAGATAGAGTATTAGAGTATAATCGGTTGCAATAAAAGTTATTGTGTAGAATTTTTGTTATATTTTACTAAATTCTGCAATTAGACCTCTATTACAACTACACCAACTGAAGAAAAAAAAACATAAAATGCGAAAGAATTTGACTTTACTTTTCTCTTTTAATTCGCTACCAGTTGAGTGACACAAGTTCCTGCATGGGTGTCCGCGCAAGTGAGTCAGCCTATCATATTTCTAGCATAGAAGTACGACACCTGAGGAAGCCTGTTTATACATTCAGCAAATATTATACACCAATTGATTAATTATTTATTTTTCTCTGCAGTGGTACTCGACATGCTTCAAAATGCAAGCATGTGGTTGCAAATGGTGTCACCTAGTCTGAAAGGGGGGGGGGGGGGGGGGGGGGGGGGGGGGGNAGGGGGAGAGGGAGGGAAGAAAAAGAGGTAACGAATTTATCAATATGTATGAAACTGTCACTTTACATCAGTACTATGACAATCTCGGTCGACGACGGAACGGCGTCAAGGGGCACACATGTACATATGAACCGATACCGTATTGAGGACTTGCATTTGCCCTCCAACTTATTCCCTTCCCTACTTAACGAGTCGGTTCCGGAATCACCTGGGAAAGTGATCCCAGGTGAAGTCAAAATCTGGTGATTCCGGAGATTGGTTCTTTACAGCTGAATACTGTTTAGAAATCTTATCCTGCAGGAAAAACGAGTGCATGGCGCACTCCAAGTTGGGAATGCGATTTCGTTCTTCTGTTAGCTGCTTTGTAGGTCTACTCAAGTTGCTTATGTTAGGGAATCACAATTTCTGAAAGTGTAGTATTGCAAATTATTATTCAAAATACTTTCTAAAATGAGAATTGGATACTAAAATACTTTCTAACGTGAGAAGCGGCATCGCTGAGCAATCTACACTGAGCAAGAATTCAATTAAAATTGATTGATAGAAGAGAATAACTAGTCATTCATTACTCATACATAAAAGGACATAAGGAGAGATTAATCATCACTGACTCTTACCAACTGATATAGGTTTGACAAAAAGCAATTGGAAATCTGCTCGAAAACCTCGAAAAAAGGAATTAATATTCCAGGACGAACTGATGCCGTTGGAAGGGAATGGCCGCGAATCCTGCTTGGCTCAGTTCATCGATATGTGCGGTAAGTTGTCACTTTGTATAAACGTACGAACAGAATCGGAACCAGTCAGGGCCTGGCAGGCTGCTGGTCATCTACCGCGGGAACTGGTATTGAAGAGGTGTGAAAGAAAACATTCGAAAGGACAAGTCAAGTGTTGTTTACGACGGATTCAATGAGGCAACAACAATAACAAACACAAACAAAAACCACAGAAACGACATGGACACAACACGACGACGACAAAGATGGAACTGAGGCATTGCCATGGTCCACCCACCCACGGGGTCAATCAATCCAGTCAAGGATGCACATTATTCATATTTGGCCTGAACAAACTTTACCATTTTACTTTGATTTTTATTTATTTTTCAGTTATTATCCTTTCTTGACACTAACCTTTAGCATTTAGCCCTTCTAACAATTATCTCTTCCTGGCAACGGCCACAAGTCCTGATGGGAGGGTTTATAGGTTAGAATTGTCCGGCTAATGATGTATTCCTTCTCGTGAGATCCCCTTCAGCCTGTTAACGTAGAACCAGATTAACAGATTAACATGATTGACTTTAGAAAGAAAGACTACAGTTCTGGGTTCGGGCTCCCAAGCATAAGTCATCCTCGGGAGCCAAGAGGAATCATCAAATAGGGGACCTACGATAGGGGTTCGCATTACGCATTTTCGATGGTGTGGTATCTGGAGAAGGAATAAAAGGGTTGCAATGGTGAGTCATATGATAAATATCAGTAGATTTTTACTTGAGGTGAAGAAGGGGTAGCGGCAGGTGGCACGCTATCATACATGTGTGATCCAGGGATCAAATTCCAGATCATGACTATTCACCCAGGCTGATCGAACCTTCCGTTCTTCCAGAGTCAGCTGATTGGAACCAGTCTAACCCGGGTGGATAAAAAACGCAGACTCACAGGTCTCCTGGCCACTGCAAGTCGTTGTCTGGGTCACATTCGCAATCAAGCACCACTAAGATTCTAAATGGAAGTGGGATATTGGGCGCATCCCCAAGAAGAGGATTGATTCACTTTAAAGAGTTCAGACTTCGTGAACACGGGCTTTTGGCAGTGATTTACTCCTTATTCATATTTTTTTCGTGCTCGCGTGAACTTTCAGATGTCCTCAAACAAAAGAATAGATGAATCTATTCTGAATAGACCCAGATAGGGAAGTAGGGCTGTGAATAGAAAAGAAAAGAAGCCGGAAAGACGAAAACTAGCATGAGGACGTTCATTTGAAAGCTGGTTTCGTGACGAATTACCCACGTACTGAATATGGCCTCCACAAAAGAGGGCTATTGTATAAGGAATAGTTAGCCAGTAACGAAATGGGTCACGAATGCAACCAGAATCCTTTCTGAACGTTTTTTTGCAAGTTGTCCGAAATAATCGACATCTGGACGAGTTTCTCAGAGCAAATTGCGGATCAATCTTGACAACTAATTAATTCTCCAAAACTCGTCGAGAATGCTATCTTCAGGAGGCTTGCCCTCTTTTGAAGACCCCAACTTTGGTAAAACTTCTAACGCCTATCAATTGAATTCCAAAAAGTTCCCGGATTGAATGGGATGTTTGATAGTTCCCGTTGCTCATCCAGATGTCATTTGGGAAAAATGCCAAAAGTGCCAGCTGATTTTGGGGATAGCTGAGCCCACAGCTGTGTGCACTGGATTTTTTCGCAGTTGCAGCTGGCACACAGCTGTTGCCATCATGCATGACTTCCCATGGAATTCAAGCACTTCAATCGAAATAGACAGTGAAAATTTCAAATGTTTCCGTCAAAAAGGGCATCAACACATGTGAAAACGCCAAAAATGGTAATGAGGGAGAGGGGGTGGGAAGGGGGAGGGGAGTAGGGGGATGGATTGAATTGGAAGGAATGTGTGAAATAGAGAATGATTTCAATCTGTCATAACACTTAGTAATTTATAATATGGTGAAAATATCTGCACGTAAATAGTCGGTTCGGGACCTCAAGTAGAAAGAGCGCTACTGAAAAGGGTACTGTAGGATTGTTGGATAGGGTAGTGGACAAGTTACTCCGTTCTGCAATTTGTCAGCAACTGGCCGGCTTTGAACAATTTGGCTACCTAACACGGATATTTCACAAAGAAAACGTGATTTTATAAATATTCTCATATTTCTAGCAAAAGTTTCTGTACCTGGAGAGCTTCTGACTGAATTAAGCCTGATACGTAAACCTAGGGCCAGAATCCAATCGATAATTGATCGCTATGTTGTCAGCAATGGTCATATCGAAATTTGTATGAACAGAATAAAAACGAAACAAACTATTATGAAGAAGAAGGTAAAAAAAAGATAGGCTCCAGGTTAAATGCTGTTGGTAGACTGGAGTTGAAAGCAATAAAATAAAAACAAAAAATAAATTTCGAAAAATCTTCACAACTGCAGGTGGTCTACGATTGAAAAAACTAGTTTTGCAAGTTTTTATCAATATTTCGTGAAAATATGGGCTAATATAAAAACACTATAACATATAAAAAAGCGCTGGCTAGGAATCAATGAGGTCCAGTTGAATCTGAAAACCGAGATGCAGCTGCTTTCCGAGAAAAACAGAAGTTTTCAGTTTTCTACGACATAATAGCCGCCTCAGAAAATATTTAACAAAAAATTTGAAATCTCAAATAGCTGGTCTGATTTAGAAAAAGTATTTCAGATGATATGGTGGTTGATGGTCAGATTTCTGTTGATGAATGGTGTGATTGCTTCTCGTTTGCCGACGACCTTCGTCATGAACCACCTTGCCACAAAGAGAAGCATTCCGTTGATCCCCACATGACCGGTAAGTTCCTTGCGGAAGATCTTTATTCAATCAGTAATCGATTTATCGATCGATTCTTAAACATTAATTCTGTTTAGGGGGGGGGGAGGAGGTTGAAAGGAGAAGGAGTCGATTGCCATATTTCACGACATGAAGTGTAACCGATTAGCATAATTCCTACCTTTCTACGAATTGTAAATTTACAAAAAATCACATTGTTATACTATTTCCTAACTGTAACTAATCTGATTTTTGTAATTTTGAAGCTGTCAATTTTTGAGACCGATATGTAGCAACACCATGGGTAGCTGATAAGGTGGCGTGATGTCAATCAGGAAAGACGATCAAATATTTGCCATATGCCATATGAATCATACCTAATTTTCCTCCCTTGGTAAACAAATATGAACAATTCCTATGACATGAGTAGTCGAGTGGAAGGAGGCGTTATTGCAATCTCGACATGTCTCGGGATCGGATTCCCTCATCCTCCAAGAGATTGGGGTTAAAGCACGAGATCAGGGAATAATCCGGTAATAGTTGAAATTATGTCTCTTTCCCAGTCTGACCAATTTCTAGAAAGAGAGCCGACATAAACAAATAAATAAACAAGTATTCAAATGAGTAAACAACTCACAACATGGGTTACGTAGCCGCAAGAGAACTACACAAGTCACAACGCTCCTGAAATGGATCGATCGCTCGATCACTATGACGCGGAATGTCCAGATGGTCAAATAAACAGTCAAATAAATAAGTAAATAAGGGAATAACCCATAGTACGGACGACGTAATCCTGAGGGAATTGAAGAAGATCCCAAAAGACTGTTGAACGGGTCCGAAACGGTCTGTGATCGTATTCGATCGCTTCAGAAAAGTTTTTTTCGTGGGATTTTGATTTTTGAGTATTACAATGTCATAGAAATAGTTTTTTTTTGAATTTTAAGTCAAAGGGATTCTTTTCTGAGAAGATTTTATCAAAACCATTGTCAAATCCAATTTTCAAGGAAGAGGCCGGATAGGAAATAAAACCAAATCTCGATGTTGATGGATGTTTATTGTTTTGCGATCGCCCTGTCCAGTCCATCTGTCCGTACAGTTCATGGAAATGTTGTTTACGGCAACAAGAGTGTCGAATTTTACGAGGATTTAATCGCGGATTGGCGATTAACATGACAGTCATGGACGGCGCCACGCACGGATTGAGAGATGACCGACTGCTCTGCTCTCGTCGGGAACGGTTCGAGAACACCAGGGGTTCCAACTAGAACACTGTAGGAAAGATGTTGAAGAACATGGTAGTCTTAGGGTAAACCCCCATTTCGAATGAGAGAGAAACCAGTAACCATTTGAACTAACGAGTAGTCGTGGAAACAAAAATGACCGTAAAAGTAAGTAAAAACGCTCGCTTAGGTCGTTATGTTGACTGGTTCGGGCATAATGTGGCTAATTTCAAGCTCAGGAAGGCAAAAAGACCCTGTAAGGAAGCCATACGTGGAACAAATATAATATTTGGGAGGAGGGCCTCTTACTTCCCCTGTTGTCCCCCATAACCATGAAGGAGCTTCCACTACAGACAAAAAAACAGAGAAGATCATCCCTCGAGGATCTTCCTCAGAAGCTCTCCTGGATCTCCTACTAGTTATGGCGATGAACCCTTACTGTTCGGGAGCAGTCTGGTTGGTTTCTCTATCTCATCTTCGGAAAGGCATCTGCCACTCTACAAATCCATGCCGAAAATGGTACTCCCATCGGTTTTACCCTTGGGTGTCCATATTGCCCTCATAAACTCCCTCCTTTCCTCCTATTTGGATGTCGGAAGAGATCAGCGGTCTTTTTCCTATGAACTGGTATACAAATAGGATTAAAAGGCGATTATGCTAAAGTGTGGGCGGAGCTATGGGCGTCAAATGCCCGCCCCTGTGAGCTTTTTCTGTCACCGTCCGAAGGCTCCCTACGGTTTTCCTCAGATTATAGTTATGTGGAAAGAATCACAAAATGTCCTCTACCAAGGGAATTGATAAGGAAGGCATGATTGATGGCTGGGCTACTGGGATTATCAGAAAACGGCTCATATGCTTACGTCAGGTGCCCCCATCCTGACATTTGGCAGGGTTTTCTAAAGGACTGAAAACTCACACTGTCTACTTGGTCCTACAGATCCCTCCCATTTTCAAGTCACTCCCCGCCTCTGGCCAAGAAAAATCGGCTAATCCGTTTATCGGAACGCATTATATCAGTTATTGACCAAAGCTTGGCAAAAAAGTGCGTTTCCACAGATAATAATGAAAGAAAATTAAGGGGTTGTCATTCCAGGAGCGTTCCTACCACGATGTGATCTGGAAGGTTATTACCGTCCCGAACAATGCCATAATGGTTACTGTTGGTGCGTTGATCGCTTCGGACGTGAATTCGATCATTCCCGTACCAAAGGCGAACTGCCTGACTGTGGACAGTACTGTAAGTGATGCCTCTACCTTTAAAGACAAGCCCACTGATTACCACTCGTTATCACTGACTATTGCAAGATATCACTTATTATCGTCCAATACCATTTAACATTCTTTTCCAGCCAACGAGCTCAACGATGATGAGAAGTCAGACCTTGAACACCGTCTTTAGGAACTCAATAGTATCAATTTCTACATTGAACTGTTGCCTTAATCTGTCTATTGCTTAACTTTACAGCACTGCCCTCCAACTACTATAATTCTGCTTTTTGTAAAATAAACTCTTTAATAAATCATTTTTTATGCGCTTTTGTTCCAAAAAAAGAGAGCTATTTCAAAATCCTCAAATTTTTTACCGTAAGACCAATTGCTACAGTATATAATAGAAACTATTGGAGAAAAGCTGATCAATCGGATCTAGCCAGTATGGAGTGACCATCTCACAAGTAACTGGTGGTAGGAATAATCCTTTCTGATGTCACACACATGGAATTCTTTTCAAAAGCGAATCGCACTTTATTGTAGACTGAATAGTTAGAAAATCAATGAACAGAGCTTTGCACACATAAATAGAATGGAACTATAAACTCAAGTGAACGATTATAAAAACTACGTTGAGGACTTTGTACAAAGTGGTGGTATTTCTCAATACAATGGATATGTTATTTGAACGTCATGTTTTCCTGAATCATTTAAAACTGAACATGCACATACAGTAAATGCTCGGCAGATAAGAATTCGTGAAACAACTAACACTACGAGGCGCGCGCGGTCGCGACGCGGCAAGTGAACAAGGACGCGCCGCATCCGCACCGCGCCAAATAAGCACTGCTACCTAACGAATGCGAATTGTCATGAAATAGCCTAAGTATTACGATCATAATCGTCATGATCTTGAAGTAATTCTCCTTTTTCCACTTGCTTATATTCAACGTCTTCTGCAAACACTCCAAGGTTGTCGCTCGTCACTTTGTCGCAGATAAAACCGTCGCTGTGCAGAAGACGAAGGAATAATGCGCAGTTGGTTGCAAGAAAACATAAGTTGCATATCATGGACATCGTAAAGAAGACCCTAAAAAGATAGCTATCGATTTCCCGTCATTGATTGGAGCGATGACGCACCGCGTCGCTTCGCGGACACAGGATGCACTGGGGTGGAATAAGATTTTCACTTACCAGTTTATATTGTAGAGATTGACGAAAGACCAAAGCATCAGGAATGCTTGAGTGAAAAATCGGAATGGAACGAACAGAACAATGTTGACGTAAGAAACCACTTTATAAAGGCTGATCATTGAAGTAGTCGACAATTTGCTCTGATTCAGTATGCCACGACAATGTAGGAATATCGATGAGACCTTAATTAAAGCTGTTGTAAGGGGATGAACCAAATGTTGTGTGTGATGAGCCATGCATCTGCTCCTAATCAGAGTTTGATTTGATCTCTCACGCTCATGCGCAAATCGCAAAGCAAGAAGAAATAATTTTGAGAAATGAGAACTAACAATAAGCTAGATTCGGAAGAAAGGTTTTTTCCGTAACAACAAAAAATAAAAATTAAATTCTCAGCCATTTTTTGCGGTCCATAGCCACTTCAGTGAGCCACTTGACTTTCACAAAATAGGCCCTAGATCTACGTTGGGAATCAGGAACAATATCAGTGGTTTCTTGTCCAATTGGCAGGGTCCCCTACACAGCGTGGGTTATTAACTCTTACGCCCATCGCTCTCTTTCTAACTTCGAAAGCCTTCTTGATGAAACAGAAAGCTTATTAGAAACTGTAGAGTAGGGCTTAGAATTCAAATGAAATTGGTTAGGTATCGTTTCGGCTCACACATGGTCCTTTGTGTCAAATCAGGGGACAGTATTATGTCTTTCTTGCTGCTATTTCTAGAAGACGTTGCTTTGAAAAATNTAAAAATATTAGTAAGCTTTATCTTACCTCCATCATCAGGGCCCAGTAGGCGTAGAGAAGAAATTTGTGTGAAGCCAAAACCACTGTCAAGAAGATTATCGAGCAGACATGATGGATCATTAACACGACGCTGCTCACATTGAGACTGAAGTTTGAAGTTCAGCGGATCACTTCCTACAGTACCCAAAAATATCTTTTCACTTACGTTTCATTGAATATCATATCAAGAGAATCATAGATAAAATAGCCCATAGAAATAAGAATAATCTGTAGTTCAAGAAAGCTATAGTAATGATATGGTGAAGCGAACATGAGACGGGTATTCCGACAGAAATACACGAACAGGAATACGCCAGAAATCTGAAAAAAGGTTTAAATCATTCCAAACTTTGTGGAGTCTTGGTGGCATGCGTGCGGTTGCGCGGCGGCTCGCACTGGAGGATACTAAGCAGAACGGGGCTTACTGATTGCGTACAACAGTGCACCTGAGTAGTATTAGGGGATGCATTCGGAATGAAATGATTAAGATCGGGATACGAGTGTACTTGATTACTACTATTACTTGTTATTATATTTTTGACCTTTTATTCCGTCGAACATCTGGGACTTTTTTGATCTAACTAAAACAGAAATAAGAGTTAATTTCGAATTTTTTTTATTTATTGGCGTTTTCGCACATGATAAAAATATGACACCAATGTCGGTATTGTCAGAAGGTTCACCTTTACAGGACAAGGCAGATTTTCGATGGGTGGAGAGTGTGTAAAAGTATACAGTAATAAGTTGTAGGGCATTACGTCCAGTCCATTAACACATGGCAATTCCTTGACAGTTGTCGCGCCGGAACCTAATGCCCTACCATGGCGCTTATGCCCGCAAACTACAGTCGTAGTGAGGAGATGATATTCCTCTCCGAGACGGGAGAGCAAAATGGAAGGATGAGGGGGGACCGAGTCTAAAAGTGAGATTCAGTAGGTAAACCGCATTGAATTAAATGTTCACCGTGGAATGAGCTAGAGAAGTGGTAAGATTAACAAGTCGCCGTCGTCGAAATCCTTCTTTCCATGACGTCCAACAGTACACATTCACCATCAGATTCAACGAATACCACATAAGTGTATAGCATACTATCGGAATGAAGTTGTTCAATGTGAAAACCAATCGATAATCTGGGATCTCTGCTACTACGACACCTGAAAAGTATAACGTTTATACTTACACGGTAAAGAACTGACAGATAGAGTGATAAACCAATCTTTTCCCATGACAACCTCACATACCTTTCCCTAAGTGGACCACTGCGGCACACGCATAATCCAGGGATCAAACACTGGACCGATACTCATCTAGGCCAACCAGGTTTCTATCCCATCTAGTCGATAACTAGGTACCAGACTCGTCTGGGAGGAAAAAACACTTACTTATACATCGGCTGGCCAGCAATTCATTGTATAGATCTCATCTGCATTGAACAGGCAACAACGATTTGTGTGGAAGTCGAATATGAGGCGTATCCCAAAAACGCCATTGGCCACAGTTAGTAGGCTTTTAAATAACTAATCTGCTCTAGATGAGCCCTCTTCTACTTCGGGGTAACATAACTATCTACTCATAGCAAACAAAGATCTCCTCTTCAAAGTCTGGTAATCTTCTCATGTGTATCCACATCGAAATTATTAATATGTGAACCCTACTCCCCTAAATCTAGGGACCTCTGAACCCTCGTATTGAGGTGTTCGAAGGGAGAGGCCGGGAAGAATCCTTACGTGAAGCTGGTAGCACCTTTAATTTCGATAAAGAAAATCGGTATCGATTTTACGCGAGAGCAATCGATGTTACTTCCCTACTAGATATACTCACCGTGAGGGTTCGGGTAATGGGATCGACCTTTATGAAGTGAACGTCGTTTTGAAGGGTAAACATTCAGTGATTGAGTTGAAAAGAAGTGGAAGTGGTCGTCAATACGTTGTATTTTGATATTTCCCCATTGAACTTGTAAGAGCTCGGATTCTCCCTCAACCACCCCGAATCTTCCATTCTGAGGCTAGTCAATTGGTAGTAGACTCGTCTGGGAGGATAAAAGTGCTGATTTGTATAGAGGCTGACCAACGCAAGTCAGTGTATAGGTCATATACGCGTTCAATACCCCGTTGCAGTCGAATGTAGGGCGCATCCTTCGAATGGGATTAAGGCCGGATACTTCGACTTTATTTAATATGCTATGTTTTGATGCTAAAACCTCAAACTTACTACGATCTCCAAACTGGGTATAATTATCGACGACGAGAAATGGAAAAGGTTCTGCATAGAAATTACCCGGTATCAAAGGTAACCTAGTGTCCATAGATCACCTGAAATCTTCTATACAGACTTTTGTTCAAAGAAGGATTGAGCAGTAAATGAAAGAGGATGAGAAACGGAGGAGAGGAAGGAGAGGAACGAGATGGAAAGGCTATCATCAATTGCACGGCTGCACTTCACACTTATGAGCGTATTACATTGAACAGCTGTAAAGTTGACAAGAGATACGCGGCGGCTGAGATATCAACCGATCGCATTCCACTTTGAGTATTTGAGATGTGCAAGCGAAGAAAAGCATAGCATGAGACGCTTTGAAACCGGCTGGAATCGACAGATCCACGAAAAACTGCATGTCGTTTCTAGAGAGATTGACGCCCGGCACATTTATCAACGGTCAACGAACTTATGGGCGTGTCTGGTTTTTAGATTTGTCGTCAATAGCTCGGTTTCTGGTCGAAGGATTGGGAGGACTTGAGGACCATATCGGAGTTTTGACAATCTGATCTGAGAGTTGTCCACCAGCGACTACTACCCTTCTTAGGAACGTGTTCCCGGAATGCCCGAAAGAACACGATTAAGGAGATCATCAGAAAAGGGAAAACGGCTAGATTGGGAGCAGGTCAGCCAAGGAAGCAACAGACATACTGAAGTATACTGCAAGGCAACGACTGCGTACTACATGACAGTGACTAGGCAGGTGTGTTGGTCGACCATAACTCCTGTAGAACACGGTCCCAGGAAGTCGATTCGATCATCAGCGATTTGATGGCCGAATATCAAAAGCAATAGTAGGGTCAGGGATCGAGAATTGAGCCGTGTTCTCAAAATAGCCATAGCCGGGACTGCCCAGTTGCCCGGAACTAGCAGCTGGGAATATTCTGAAGATTGCCGGATATGTATTGATCGATTGAGTCACGGCCTACATATAAGAATCGGTGAGGAGGAACAGATGCGTAACAGAGCGTGAATGCGGTGTTCATTTCGGAGAGCATAAGTGGAACCACCAAAATCACAGCATGTTGCTACTGATTGCCCTTTCCTTACCTGCTGATGGAAGTTTCAGAAGAGGAAGTTAGCAACAGTGTTTCCCGGACGGGTCAACCGGTCATCAAAAAGGCCTGGAAACACCATGTCTACGCTCAGCGTGGACTGTCATACTTATCAGGAACTGTCCTCCTTTCCTCCTGCTGTCCTCAGTCCATCGCGATTCCATCTATTCGGTCCAGTCTGATCCCAGCTCCGAACGCAGCGCTCGCAATCGAATGGAGAACATATGACGGAAGGCCGATGTAAAGCCATTACTTTAAAATCACAACTTTTGCAACCTGTCAATTTGACGACCCTGATGGGAATGGTTCTCCAATCTCTACTTCTAATATAAAAGAGACATAATTTGCAGTGAACGCCATAAAGACCTTCAGTCAGCGCATTTGCACCCCGTCAACGTGGGCGACTGGTCATCGCGGTTCCGTTCGCTTCTTCTTCTCTTTCATAGTAGTACTGTCGAACCTTGGTCACAAATGACTACGATGCACTGCGAGAGCCGAGAAATTTGAGCCGCCTGTAACCGGACATTTTGGCACAGCCAAATTTCTCTGAAGTCCAGAGGCGCACGGTTCCAGAATAGGTAGAATTGTGATTGAAATGAAAATGAAAGTTTACCTTAGAATGGGGTAACAACATTCAGGTACAGCCGCTTATACCAGCGACCAGCTTGCTTGGATGAAAGAGAATGAACTGATGTTACTTGGTATGATAGCTGTTTATAAGGAATGACAGGTAATGTCAACACCGTTATCCACTGAGACTGCTGCTATACTTCGCGCGCACGTAAGCCAGCTTGCAGATGGTCTCTAATATAGGTATCGATTTTACCTCACGGCATTATGGCGCGAGCCTTTTTCTAGGATACTCTGTGTTGATACGAAATCAATCGATATTCACCCTATACAATGTGAATAACTTTCTCAGCTTACAAAAGCGATGTAAAATTTCTTTTAAAACATAAAGAATGAAAGAATCCATAAATAAAAAAGGATTCGCTGGAAATCTGCAGACCTACGATATCAACGAAGCGTAGGCCTACAGTGTTGGAGTTGGACGGAGAGAGGAGTAACAGGGAAAAAGCTTCGCGTAAGCGTTTTAGTGGAATCTTTTCAAGGCCCATTGACCTATTTGGAGTGTGACTAGGACGGCTGATGACTATAGTGGCGTTCTTTGAGCTATAAGATAAACATCGGAAAGGCCAACAGCCGGACAACTAAGTGCATAGGCAGAGAGACGTGGACCAGTGGAAAAACATGTAACCCAGCTGGCCAGCCGCTTTTTCTAATCTGGCCTACCTTATACTGCTTTCACATTTCGATCTGCAAAGATGGAAGCAGTTTGGGGATGGTTATACAGAAAACATGTGAAAAATGTGAAATATGCAACAAATTGAATATTGATTAAAAACGCGTAAAATCGATAAACACATCGAAGCATGAGCCCTGACTGAGATTGACAAAACGTACGTTCGGAGGAGGAACCTTAGGATTGATAGCCGTGTCAGATACGATATGTAAGCGTTTGAAGCGGGTGTGAAATGGAGACGAATGTCGACCAGTCGAAAGCAAAATGTGAAAGACACATGGCGCTAGGAAGGCGAGTGGGCTGAAAAGTGCAGCGGCCATTCATTCTGAAATAATTCTGCAAACAAAAAAAAAATCAAAAAAAGAAACTGATAAGAGTGAAGACGTTGATAAACGGCCGTCTCTTCATTCAACATTGAACAACAACTCCAGTGAAAAGCTTTAATCGCTGATCATATTCAGGGGAATACCTTGACGACTATATGATGATTCAAAGGAGCGAAGGTCTATGAGGCTACAAAATGAGCCGGACAGGTGGAAAACTCGAGATTGAGCAAAATAACCTCCTCCGAAAAAGTCAATTCTGATCGAGGAGCGTAAATCATCTTCCGACCAAAATAGCATTTGCCCTTAAACACAAGTGGGGAATGTTGTGGGCGTGGGCGACTCATCACCGATCATTTTGCGATTTTTTATTTCAATCACACCCTGCTCAATAAAACATATTTCCCTGTCACTACGGTGTTTGATTGATTGACAACAGACCCTGCTCAAAGTGTAATTTCTTCCAGGCTGAATCAGCTCTGATCCTTCAATATTGAAATGTCTCAGCCGCACCGATTTTGGACCGGATTTTACAGTTATAAGTACCGGCTATGACTAGTAATTCCGAGACAGGCAGAAGTATGAGCAAAAAGAAAACTGTAAATGTATACGTCAAAGTGCAAGGGGTGGTTGAGCAGTATGGATAGGCAAAAAGCGGGAATATTTTTCTGAGAGAATAGAAAAGGACAAAGAAGTGACAAGCTGCGGCACGATTCCCCTATCTATTATTGCAGGTCAATAATCAATTTGTTTGCAGATCAAACTATCCATTTTAGACCGAAAATTCGAAATTCATCTGAGGTGTAACTTAAAAATTTTATGAGACCACGGGTTTTGGAAGACGTCGAACCACAGGCTCCGCCCATCAGAAAAACCACGCCCATCTGTTTGTGAAATTCAAGAAAATTTAGAAGTGAGGAAAGTCTGTTCATAAATAGTCCATCAATTCACTTTTCCAGTTGATTCTGTACCATTCATGCGTATCTGAAGTGAGAGTCCTGGCAGGCCCCGGCGGAACTTGTTTCGAATATGATTCCCAGACCATAATAATAAGGTCCCACATCGTAAATTACCTTATCCCATCTTCAACAGCTGTGCTCCCTGATCTTTACAGATCCCACTGACAAGTACTGTAAGGACAAGAGATAAATCTTTGGCGTTAATCAATCCCACAGTCGACTTCCATTCATATTCCCATTGGTGTATTGAATGCATATGTGGCCTATACAATGGCTTGCGGTAGCCAGCCGATGTACAAGTCGGTGCTTTTATCCTGCCAGACAAGTCTGGTACCAATTATCCGACCCCGTAGGGATGAAGGCCTTAGTCGGGCTAGGCGGATATCGAGGCGGGTTCGAACCCATGACCATCCGTGTGTGAAGCTTGCCACTTCACAATTCCCCACTTCCTCACTCAAACAAATATTACCAACGTGGAACAACGTCAAACAAATAAGTAACAAAACAAAATAACAATATTTTTACTATTACGATCGCAAATCAATTAATACAATTCATGATGAGATTGTGTATGAAGATATTTTGATTTGGATTTTTTCAATACATAAAAAAAGACTTTTGCCACAGTCTATCCTCATCAAGGAGCTCCTTTCTTTTGTTCCTGTTTTGAGTCGAGCGCAGGTTTCTGCTGATCCCGTTTTGAGTCCTTTGCTGAAGCTGAAACAACGGATGTAATCGTCGGCCACTCATCCACTACTTTGTTCTTGACTGTTCCTCTTCAAAAGCCACCGTTAAGGTACACCATATGGACGGTTGATGTCAGAAACTGATAACAACTGGTAAGGGCTGGCAAGGAGCGGAAGAAGGCAAGAGCTGCCGAGTCGGTTGGGCTCTTGAGCTTGATAATTGAAGTCGACGTTCGGACGAGCGATAAGGGATTCGTCGAGATCGTGGATGGTTGATGACAAGAATTGATAACAACTGATAAGAGTTGATAGTGGGTTTCAATCATCAAAGCATCCGATGAATTTTGGTCCCATATTAGCGATAGAGCCTGCTACATGTGCTGCATGATGTGACCGGTGTGCAGCCAGGGATTACAGAAAACAATAATCGTTGATAAATGCTGATTAGGGTTCTTGCTCGTAAAATGAAGTATTTCAAACTTTCAAGTACGGCTTTCTATTAACCTCGGCATAACTGTACTGTTGCATATACTGTTCTCTTGAACTCTTCACGAGGTTCGTAAACAAGCTTTATTAGGCCGACGTTTCGGCGATATCGCCTTCTTCAGAGTCTGAAAGGATCATAACAATCTGTGACTGTCCGACCAGACTCCTCCACTAACTCGCCGAAGTTCGAGATCCCGAAGGCACACCGGTGATGGAAAGGAGTACCAATCACCGTAGCTTGGTGGATTCTTCGAAACCACCCAGCAAGCGATGGTACCAACCGAACAGTGTGAGGTGGAGTAGGCCCCCATTCAAAGTCACTGCGGGAAGGCCAATCTCAAGTGGAATTGCAGCTCCCGCGTGAATGTAAGGCGTGATTCTTCCCTACGACTCACATTTGGAACAGTGTGTTGTATCCAAAATGTCTCGAGGGTTATACGTGCGCAAAATTCCGGCTCCTGCGCTACGACCTCCATGGAGAACTCAAAAACGCCTCCGTTATGCTTTCGAATTCGGTGAGTCCCTAAGGCAGCAGACTTTTTCAATCGTCTCATTCCATCTATGTGCTCCTTAACCCTCGCGTGGAGTGGTATTGCCATCCCGCCAATATGCTCATCACCACAGCACACGACAGCACCGCCACATCCTGCGGGCTCATAACAGCTCCGTCATATTGCCCCGGTCTCAAGACAAGCAGCACCGTGTCTTCCAGTCTCTAAGCAGCACCACTTCTCGTAGCCGGCACACGGCAGCACCATCATATTCTGCGGGCTCACGACAGCTCCTTTACAACTCTCGGAGACTCGCACGTCAAAATATCCCAGTCAAGTTACCAACCTTCAGCATTTTCGTTAGCGTCGACGTCCCACACGAATACGTGGACCATAAGGGACCAATCAGATAATATTGATGGGTTGTACAGAGACGAAGTGGAACAGAAGGGGTAACCTAAACTAGCATCCGATACTGCAAAGTTAAGTGATTGCGGGACACAACACGAACGATCAGGCTCACGAGGTGTTTTCCGAGAAATCGTTAGATTATGGTTTGTCGTAGGCTTTCTTTCGAATCGGACAGAGTCAGCGCAGAAATCGCGAATTGCACGGAAAGATCAGGTGAATTGGGTTGTCTCGGTAAACCGACCAAGAAACGATACCAAATACAATTAGCTTTATGGCCATGCGTGTTTTACGAATAATTCCTCCCTTTTTCCATTTGAAAAGATGGAGATTGCACACAGCGAGTGAGGGTTCATCAACTTCGATGTTCAGCCTGTGACGAAGTGTATTTGGTGAGACGGGAAGGATGCTCGGGATGCGCGTCAAAGAACATCTACCAGGAAAGATACGTAGAAGTCTACTAGTAACACTACTTGGGAGGCACCGACTAGAAGAACATCAAGGCATTGATTTCGAATGTAAAAATCTTGCGTTCTTGTGAAATGAGATTAGTGCCGGAAAGATACCGCGCGAAAAATCCAGGCCTGAACAACCGAAATGAGTGCTTGGCCATAACAAGTAAAATGTTGCCATTCATTCCCGTTTGTGGGCTTTGAGATCATCGCATAGTTCCTATCCTACGATCATCAATGAAGTCTCATTGGTCCCTTGTTGTTCATATAGAGTGGGACGTAACGCTGTTGGAACCGCTGAAGGTTGGTCTTTTGCTGAGAACTTTTCAAGATCCGAGTCTTCGGGAGTTGTTGCAACTAGCCTAGCGTTTGAGCGCTTGGTCGGGTAAATCACAGATTAGGAGCTTCAAACTTTTAAGGTCGTGTAGACGACGACTCAGTCGAGACGTTGACCAATAAAGCAGTTCAGCCATAACAAACGTGTACGGCAAACAGTATAGAAAATTATGAAAAATGAACAGGTCTCAAGAAGCCCGAACAGGGAAGTTGCAAAGAGTATAAAAAATTTTATAAATAAAAATACGAAAAATGGCAAAATGTTGCAAAGGTTCATAGGAAACAGACTACAAACCTGGATTTGAGATTCTACCTTGAAGATCGAGATCAGGTAATTTGCTTTGATCAATTTCCCAGTCATATGGAAATTCTTTGAGTTCGTTAGAAGTGAGTGCATCTCGCAAAANTTGCAAAGAGTATAAAAAATTTTATAAATAAAAATACGAAAAATGGCATAATGTTGCAAAGGTTCATAGGAAATAGACTACGAACCTGGATTTGAGATTCTACCTTGAGGATCGAGATCAGGTAATTTGCTTTGATCAATTTCCCAGTCATATGGGAATTCTTTGAGTTCGTTAGAAGTGAGTGCATCTCGCAAAAGTCCACGAATTATCGCATAATTCGGTTTGTCATAGTATCGTAACGTATCGATGTAAAGCATGATGTGAATATACTCTTTTGGACAGCCGGCAAATAGTTGAACCAAACCTGAAATAGCCGGGTAACCAGACAGAGCCACATTCTCTTGAAGAGAAAAAGAAATTGGGCACTGAGTAGCGCTTTCACCAAATTCAGTTCAGAATTCTGGCTTCGGATTATGCCTTTCTCGGATCACAGAGGTCTCTGGCCAGAAGGAATAGCTTTAAAAACTCGATTCATAGTGTTCTGCACCAGCTACTCTCCCCAACCATTACGTATCTGCATGGTTTCCAAAGTCACTTTGAAAGGAAGCAAAATGTGAACGGGAGCCGAATACGTGGCTTATTCTGGTTAAAGCTTGGCTCAGGGAAAGATAGCTCATAAAATCATTGGTCTATTCGCTTTATCGAAATCATTTGTGAACAGGCCGTGATCACCGCAAAGATTTTAAGCTTAAGATCATCATTTTTGCGAAAGCCCCCTAATTAATTTTTCTATTTTAGGCACTTTTTATTCTCTCATTCGTTGGGATGATTTTTTGAAATGATCTGCCTTGTTTTTCTCGTTAGCTAATTATGTTTTCGATTTGCATTTTGAATCACACTTCTAATAAACATGAATGTTTCCCTGAATTACGCCCTGAGTTGCGGAAGTGTTCGATGTTTACGCAGTGTTGGTATCCCCCTCCAAACAGTTTTGCTGCCAATTAGACAGTCTTTCTCATTCTTAAGGATGATTTTTTGAAATGATCTGCCTTGTTTTTCTTATTAGCTAACTATGTTTCCAATTTGCATTTTGAATCACTTCTCTAATAAACATGGATGTTTCCCTGAATTACGCCCTGACATGCGGAAGTGTTTGATGTTTACGCAGTGTTGGTATCCCCCTCCAAACAGTTTTGCTGCCAATTAGACAGTCCCAAGGGGTCAAACTAAAGGGCTGACACAAAGAGGGCCTGGAAAACAATCTGTGTGGGTGGTCACCTAGTAACATGCCTATTTACCCAGATTCATTTCAAAAATGATCCGATACCAACCCTACCGGTCAGGCGTTGCTGTAGCTTACGGTATCTTTTCGAAAGTTTCTCCAATACATACCGCTCGTACGCCCCTTTTCTTTAGCAGAACATATCGCGACAGTATCCTCAAGCAT